AAGGTAAAGGACAGAAAAGGAAAACATTACAAATTAACTATATGTAAAAAGGTAAACACCTGAAATTACGAATGTAACCAAAAGAAGATTGTTTAAGATATTCTACAAAAAAATTAAAAAGTAGGTACATTTTATCTATTTCTTAATTTTAAACATTTCATTGTATGTTGATGATAATATGTACAGATAATAATATGGTAGAGAAAATGAAAAATAAAATATAAATATTTACCTTGAAAAACTTTTGATATTCATTTAGGAGATTCTAAAAGTATTGCAAATAAAACTTAAAAAGTGTAATATGAAGAAAAGTATTTTTATCCCTAAAATGAAAATTACCTTCCACACAATCGATTGACTTTAAGTGCAAGTAACTAAAACAGATAAATAACATACTTTTAGTAGAAATACTGAATTAAAATAATGTCATCCTTTGTGTACAAGATACTTATAATCTTTAACAAAATCTTACAAGTTTTTCTGAGGATATGTTAAGAAATCTCTGATTTACAGTATGTATTGATGCATTTGTATCCTTCCCCAGATGGGCTCGTGAAAATTACACACCCTTGCTAAGAAAGAGTTAAATAAAACTGTCTTAGCTAAAGATGACTTCCACCGTGTCAAAAGTTATATTTGTGTCCAGTAGTCTTACCATTCTCACAATTAAGTATGAAAAAAGATGATGCATCAACACTATCATTTCCCTCCAAATGTTGCCTAACCAGTGACCTATACAATGAAATTATATCATCTTTAGACTTGTATTCAATATTTCTGTAAATACAACCTAAAATCCAATTTTTCCTACAACTAGCAACAGCTTGGATGGCTTTAGAGACTGATCAACTATTACACCAAAATCCTTTTCTTCCATAGCACTGTTTAGGTTATTCCCACCAAGTTGCACTTATAATTCAATTTAATATGCATGCATTATTTTGCAGTTATTATAATTAAAACCCATCTGCCATATATTTGCCCAACTCACTAAATAATCTAAATCCTTTT